AGGAGGAGGAGGAGAAGGAGGAGGAGAAGATGAAGAAGAAAGAGGAGGACTAGGAGGAGAAGATGAAGAAAGAAGAAGAAGGAGGAGGATGAAAGGGAGGAGGAGAAGGAGGTGAAGGGAAAGGGGGTGGCGTGGTGTCTATAATATCATTAACACTACATCTATTATAAACATTAATCAGAACCATAATCATACCTTAATGCTATATTGCCATGGTTACCATCGACAAAGGTATTTTCATCATCATTAACATTATAATCACAGTTGCTATTTCGGTCACTAGCATAGTAATCCTCATAACTATGAATTAAAGGTTTATGATGTAAGAAAATAAATCTTTCATAACTAAATGTTGTGATGTAAAGAAATGTAAAATGTACCAAGATTGATAATGATATTAATGATGAGAAATGTGATGATGGTAATAATGATGATAATAATGATAACGACACAAAACAACGATAATGAGGATAACGTTAACAACAACAATAAAATTATAATTAATAATAGTACCAGTAGCAACAATAGTAATAATGACAAAAACCAAGAAAAATATAAAGAATGAGATTGATGACACAATAATAATAAAAATACCATAACGACATTAATGACAGCAATGATAATAACAATGATAACAATGATACTAATGATGAAGATGATGATGATGATGATAATGATGATGATAATAATAATAATGATAATAATAACAATAATAATAATAACAATAATAATGATTATGATAATAATATCATTAATAATGATAAAAAACAATGATACTAATGATAAAAAATAGAAAAAATAACAATAATGATAATAAAAAAAACGAATAATAGTGATATTGCAAATGATAATATCAGGTAGTGATAATGATGATAATGACAATAATAATAATAATGATGACAACGATAATCACTATAACAGTACTACTAATAACATTAATAATAACGATTATGACAGCAACACCAGCAATGCTCATAACTTTGATAATGATAACAATGGTAATGATGATGATAATAAAACCAATAACAATAATGATCATTATGATAATAAAAGCAATTACAGTGATAATAATAATAATAACAATAATGATAATAATAATGATCATGATAATAATAATAATAATGATAATGATAATAACAATAATAATAATAACAATAACAATGACAACAGCAATAATGATAATAATAATAATAATAATAATAATAATAATAATAATATAATGAATAATGATAATAATAATAATAATAATGATAGTGATGATATGATGATCATGGTGATGAAGATAATAATAATGATAATGATAATGATAATAACAACAGCAATAACAATAACACTAATAATGATAATGATAATGATAATAATAATGACAATAATAATGATAATAATAATATTAATAATAATAATAATAATAATAATAATAATGATAATAATAATGACAATGATAATAATGATAATAATAATAATTATATCATTATTATTATTATTGTTATCAATAATGTTATTAATAATGATAAAAATGGTGAACTACTACCACTACCACTACTAATGGTAATGACAATAATAAAATCAACAATAATCATGGTAGTTATGGTAATGCTAAAAACAATAATCGTAATAATTGTTACAATAATAGCAACATATGTGATAACAAAGATAATGTTAGTATAAATTATGACGAGAATAAGAGAAAATACTTAAAAATTGCTATAATCATAAATAATGGTGGTACTAGTAGTGTTAATAGTAGTAACAATAATGATTAAAATAATGGTAATAATAATAATAACAATGATAATGACAACAGTAATAAAAACAACAACATCAATAATAATAACGATGATAATAATAATAATGACAGTAGTAATAATAATATCAATAACAGCAATAATAATTATAGTAGAAGTAGTAATAATGATGATAACAATAATAATAATAAAGTATTATAATAATAATAACAAAAACAACAATGTTAGTAGTAGCAGTAGTAGTAATGATAATAATGATTATTATCATTTCAACAACAATGTATAATAACTATTACTGTTATATTATTCATAACAACAACTGTAATGGTACAGCAAATGAAAATGATAATAGTATAGTAAACCCAAAAGGATCTCAATAAATACAGGACCCCTTAGATGGCAATACCCCTTGCTGGTGGCTCTGGCTGTCTAAAGAAAACTCTGATTTTTACTTTTTTTATATACCTTTGTGCAACACACACACACACGCACACACACACACATACACACACACACACACACACACACACACACACACACACACACACATATATATATATATTATATATATATATATATATATATATATATATATATATGTGTGTGTGTGTGTGTGTGTGTGTGTGTGTGTGTGTGTGTGTGTGTGTGTGTGTGTGTTTCTTTCTTTTTTTTAGGTGTGACCTTCCTCTTAATTCATGACATCTGAATTTATTTTAGGCTGTTAACCATTCATCACACATTCATATTACATAAAAAGAAGTCAACATGTACGGTGATACTGTGCAACAAATGAATATAAACAATAGTTTCGACATTTAAATTCAATCTGAAGAAGGAATAACGATTTTTTTTTATCAACCAATCAGAATCCTCAGCTGAGCATGTTGCCATCTAAGGTATCCCTGCATTTACATGATACTTTAATACGATATAACAATAATGGTCGATAACAATGATGATTAGTGATGATTATGATGAAGATATAACCGTGATGATATCATTAATGCTCATGATAATAACGATACTGATAATAATAATAATAATAATAATAAACATCAGCAACATTGATGGTAACATCAATGATGACGACGATAATGATGAAAATAAGAATGATAAAAGTTATGGAAATAATGATATTGAAGGTGAACATAATCATGATAGTGAAATAAAAGTAATGATAATTCTAATAACAATGGTAACGATAATAATGATAGCAAAAATAGCAAAATTAATAACCATAATAATGATGATGATAATGGCAATAACAATAATAATAGATAATAATAACAATGATATAAAAATGTATAACAATCATAATAATAAAACAAAATCAACAATGGTAATAGAAAAAAAATAAACAATAACAATTACAATAATGATGATGCCAATAATAATGATAATAAAAATATGACAATAGTAATGATAACAATGATAACAATTATGATAATAATAATAATAATAATAATAACAATAACAATAATAACAACAACAATAGTAATAATAATAATAATGAAAATAATAGTAATGATAATAAATACAACAATAATAATAACAAAAATTACATAAAAAAGGCTATAATATTAAGAACGAGAAAAGAAAATATATATTGCTATGAAAATAATACAATGTAAAAAAAATATCAGTAAAACAATAACAGTAATAATTGTAATAAACTCATTTTGTCATTATCTATATATAGTAACATGATAATGATGATTGTCATTATCATTATCCTAGATTTTGATTATGTTTGTTATTATTATTTTATCCATAATATTATTACCATCATTTTGAGCACTTATTTATATTCTTTCTTTATCATCATTATCATCATTCTCATAGTCATTATTACTACTATAATTATGATATTCTTATCAAAGAAATTAATACTATTATATAATGCTACCATAACAAAAAACATCGTTATTGCAGCTAACCTCTGAGTTATTACTATTGACATAGTGCTATTATCATTACTATTAAAACAGATGCTGTTATCGTTATTATCATTGGCATTACTGTTATTGTCTTGTTAATTTCCTTTTGTTTACCAAATGGTACACTGATACTGCTGTCAGTAATCACACTTATCGTTTGATCTTTTACAGACTCATCGACACCGTAGTTACTACGTGTATATATTAGGATCTTCCCGTCTTGATAGTAGAATACTGTTGTTATTGTATGCAAGAGTCACCCTTATCATTATTACTACAATTGCTACCACGGCTTACATTTCATATGCATTGTAAGCATCACTACTGTCTCATTTTGTTGGTTAAGTACTGCTATTACTACTGTTACTATAGCAACAGCCACTGCTATTGCTTCTGACGCTACTACTATTACTCTTCTTGTATCAAAAATATTGTCAATTCTCTAATTGCTAGCGGTGGTAATAAGAGTAATAGTGGTAACAGTATAGTGGTAGTAATAGTAGCAGTCATGTCTGTAATATGTACTGCAGTAGCAGCAGTAGCAGCAATAGTAATAGTAATAGTATTAGTATTAGTAGTAACAGTACTAATACTAATAGGAGTAACAGTAGCAGCAGCATTAGTAGTACCAGTAGTAGTATTAGTACCAGTAGTAGTACTCTCACTATTGCTAAAGTTGCTTCAAGGTACCTGTCTATAGTTTATTTCTACTCTTCTGCCAATAACACTGAAAACAACACATAGTCCTCCCACGCCGACCATCTTTACATCACTCATACCAGGCATACTTGTCCTACAGTGATTAATCCTGGCAAAGCTACTACTTCATTCAGCTGAAGGACTTACATTCATCTCACATTCCAATTCATCCCTTGAATGTGCACCCAGGTAGGCAGGATCTAAGAATGCGTCACTTGATTCTAACGTTTTAAGGTATGTCACTGGACAACCAGGTAGTTTCTTACCAAATGACGTATTTTGATAGTTTTTGAGTTGTTTAATTATCGTGAATCTGGCATTTTCTTGTGAGAAGTGAAGTTTGTTTAAGTGGAAAGTTATTCTATTCGGGTAAAGGTTTTCTTCCAGGTAAGACTCTCCAACCCACCCCATCCCCCTCCCCTCCCCACATACCCCCTAGCGTCAGGTACCCCATTCTTCCTTTCAGAATAAGTGGCTGTAATTACCGTCCCCAGACCTATTCCTCATCTTAGTGTTTCACATGAGTATCCTAAATTACATATAAAAGGCTCGACTCCCTTCTGATAGGCGATTCAGCTCCCCTCGGGCTGGGCGGACGAGGGTCACAAAAGGGACTTACTTGCAGATGAGGTCCGGCGCGTCCTGCTCTCCCGGGGACATGGGGCAGTCTGGCGTCATGGTGGAGTCTGGAGAGGCCGCTTCGTCGCCCTCGTCGTGCGAGGTCGTGGTGGTGGGCGGCGAGAGACTGATCTTGCTGGAGTGACACAACGGCGAGGGGCGTCCTCCTCGCGAGTGGTGGCCGAGCCCTCGGTCTGGCGCCGGAGAACAGGTGATATATCTGTTCCCCTCACCGTGAGTTTGCTTTTCAATGTCTCCTGTTTTGTTATCGAGTTGCCGTTTTTTTCCCGCTTCACAGCAGTGTTTCAGTGATGGAAGTTGCAGACCAGAGACTAATGACTGTCCCGGCGGAAACAGGGTTGCACTTGTTGCTTGAGACAGTTCAGTTCCGGCGGAATGTCGCAAGGTTTTTCTCTCCGCAGGCGAACATAGTGTCTGAAACGACCTAATTCTCTCGTTGTCGCGAGGCAAGCGTGACACCTGTTGCAGGCGAGCGTTTCAAGATTCCGTGTCCCGTTTTAGACAGATGTCCAAGGCTTTGCAATGCAGGTGTCTCTCTCTAGCACTTTTTGGGGTGTACGTTTCAGGCACTCTGAGCAAACCTGTAAATCCAAAGACCTTGTTTTAGTTTCACACAAAACCTCACTACTTCTTAAACAAGACAAAGGCACAACAGGAAGGTAAAGGTCGTGCTGCTGCAAGGGACACTGGGTGCGGTGTTAGGGACCAGTTAGGTAGCGGGGCAGCAACAGACATGCGGGCGGTGCACCTGTGTGCGGCCTAAGTGTTGCGGGTGCGGAGGGATGAGGTGAAGTTGGCGGCGTGTTGCGCGTGTGGGCGAGAGGGATGACGGAGCTGACAGCTGCCAGTCCGTGCGGGCCCCAGCGTCAAGTCGCCCTGCCCCCAGGAGCCCGGCCGCCGGCCGCAACTCCAGACAACACCTGCCCCCACCACTCAAACCACCCCGACTTCCAACCTCCCGCGCCACATCTGACCTTGGGCTCAATCCCACGGCCACCTTGCCGCCCATTGCCACCTTGGTCCCCGCCTACGCCCCGGGCCCTTCCACCCGGCGGTCCTCGACACGCACACCCCCATCGCCACGGCTGCCGCTGCTGATTGGGTCTCTCCACCTGCACGGGCACCCGCCTACCTGTGATCGCGCGCCAATGGGAGGACGCCGAAGTGACAAACACGAGGGAGGGGCCGGGAGGGGGGGGGGCGGGAGGAGGATGGGGAAGGGGGGAGAAGGGGGAGGCTTGCCAGAGGTACGGCGGAAGGTGTTTAGAGGGGAAGGAAGGGAGGGGAGGGGAAGGGGGAGGGACACCCATCACCGGCTCCTGCCTGACACGGTACAAAAATTGCCTTCGAAGCCATCATTTTTATCGATCCCTGATCTCCCCTCCTCTCCCCCCCCTACCCTCTGGTCAGTTCGCCTCCCCCTCCTACGCCTCCCCTCCCCCTTTCCCTTCCAACTCTTTCGGGCAGTTCCTCTCCCTCCCTCTTTCCCTCTTCTCTCTCCTCCCGTCTCACAAAAGAGGAAAAATTTGGTCTCCTTCTCGGTTTTGTTTTCTTGACAGTTTTCACTTTCCCTTTTACATCTCCTTCTTCCTCCTCCTCTTCATCTTCTTGTTCTTCTTCCTCCTCCTCATTTTCCTTCCTTCTCCTTCACACCCTTTTCCCTTCCTTTTCTCCTTCATCACCACTTCCTCTTCCTCCTCTCATCCCTTCTTCCTTCTTTTCTTTCTCCTTCTCTTTCTCCTCCTTTCATTCCTTCTTCATTGTTTTCTTTCTCCCCCTCTCTCTTCCTCTTCCTTCTCTTCCCCCTTCTCCAGCTCCACCACCTCCTCCTCCAGCTCCACCTCCCTCCTCCAGCTCCACTTCCTTCTCCACATCCCCTCCTCCTCCTCCTCCTCTCTTCTTCCCTCTCTCCTCCCCTTATCGTCCGCCGTCCCCTCCTCCTCAACCTCCTCATTTCCTCATTCCCAACCTCACCCAAGACCAAATCCTCGCCCATGCTCATTCATTCTCTGAACCCTTTACTCACTACCACACTCACCCCCACCCTCCTACACCCGATTCTCCGCTGTCTCAACCAACCACGCAAGCACCGGTATTTACACTGATTCACACACAGTAATTTCATCCTTAGAAGAAACGAGTGAAGATTAAAAAAAAAGAAAAGAAAAAAATAAATGTACAGTAACATGTTCAGGCTATCCAATGCACCTTCTTGTAAACCAGAATGCAGGGATGTTTGGACACACGCGCTCATATGCACATACAAACATATACGGGTGTGGAGTAACGCACATGTATGTACACGCACACATATACATATACTTCGGGTTAGGAACATACACAGACAGAAACACAGACACGAACGCACATACACACACGCACGCACACACGCACGCACGCACACACACACACACACACACACACACACACACACACACGCACGCACACACACCACACACAACACACACAACACACACACACACCACACACACACACACACACACAACACTCTCTCTCTCTCTCTCTCTCCCATGTGCGTCTCCTACACGCCCGTGCACAGTGGCACAGCCTCGCCGCGTCCCGCCCTGAGCGCTGCCCCGCGCCCTGGCACACTCCGAGGCTCCCCAGGCCGGCCGCCCACCGCAAGGGCTCCTCCTGCGCGGCCCTGCCAGCGAGGCGGTCCGCGGGCGCCCGCGAGGACCAAGAGGGCGGCTCAGGGCAGCAGGGCGGTGGGTGGCGGGCGTTGCAGCTGCGTGTGTGGTGTCAGCGGGTAGGCTGGTGGGTGGCTGGCTGCCCCTGGAGCGCCGCCCCCCGGGTCGCGGCTCTCACGCCCCTGGAGGCCGCGCGGGCCCGCCCGGGGGGCCGCGCCGCCCCGCCCGGGAAATAATACACCGATGGGAACACCAACTTTTTATGGCCCACTTTCTGCACTCCCCCGAGCGTGATACAGGCTGCCCTGGGCGCTCCTGTGCCCGGGCGGCGCGAAATGCCACGAGACTGGCTTCTCGGGCATTCTGTGCATGCCAGCGGGCCTCTCGACGGCGGCCAACCCAAGCCGCCCTCGCGTCCGCAGAAGCCCTGTCCGTCGCCGCCGCCGCCCGCCTGCCCCTTCCGACGCCTCGCCCGCCCGCCCTTCCAAGACCATAAACCTAACCTGGGACACGGATCCTGTGCCCTCTCCCCTCCCTGACGGATCC